AAAAAGCCATGGCAAATGGAAGATTAAAAAAGAAAAAAGTACTTAAGTCGATTTACACTTGATGTTCATTTTATGGAAGTTACCATATACATCTCAATTAGTGATATTACAGTATTGCTTTCTACACAGATGATTCTATATGTGTATTTGTGCCTGATCTGTTTTTCCAACTGTGGTATGAAAGTAAAAATTGAACTTTGCTTGTTAATCATAGTCTAGCTGATGTGCATATTGGTATATTTCAACCATTTGTGATTGTTCTGGTGATGATTATCCTAGATCTAAATTTTAAAAATCTTTTATTTCTTTAAGAGAAAAAAAAATTATGGATGTGCTGGGGTAGTGGACCATTTCCATAAAACCTGTAAAATTCTAGAAATCCACTAGGTGGCAATCTCAGATTCAATCATTTTAGAAGAACAACTGGAATGTCAAGATCAACACAATGGATTCTGAATAAAAGGAATTTTAATAAGCTTTATTGCCAATTGTTATCAACTTAAAAATCTGAAAACTAACCCATCTGCATGTCAATTTTCAAAGGTCTGACCTCTTGAGTTTATGATGCCATTATTGTTTGATGTGTATTCAGGAATTACATATGCTTATAAATATCAATTTGAAAACAGTAGCAGAATATACATTTCTTACTCAAAGCCACAATTATTTGAAATATAGTTAAACTAAAAAAAATTTAATATCGATATCCCAGTAATGTGGAAAGCATAACTTCATGGTATGGAATATTCAAATATTTTACATTCTCCCAGTGAGATTAAAAAGACTGTAAAGTGAGTAACTCCCTCCTCCTATCTCTCTGTATGCCTAGGTCTCTGCATCTTTATTTCCTATATTTGGCACAAAAGAGCAAGATTAGAGCAGTGTAAATGATGCATCCATGTCCCACCTATCCTGTCTTACTCAGATTTGCACCAACAACTTCACTTTCTTATTTTGAAAGTTATGCCAACCTATTACCTCTTTATTTGCTCTTTTCTCCCTGAATTCACCGTGGTTTTTGCTTTTAACTCCAACTCCTCTCCCCTCTGTTTTAACTCCTGTACACCCTGTCTGACCGCTTCTCCCACTGCATTTTGTAGAAGCTGCTTTCTGGTGAGAAGAGCAACATCTTGTATAAAATATTTACCCTATTCATTAACAGCTCCTCCAGTTTTGTAGGCCTGGTTACTTTTTCTTTCTCTCAATAACTATCTTCTTTTTCCTTTTCCTAGTTTTTAAACAGCATTTCCTAATTGCAGAGTCCTTTGCTTTCTTCTCCTCTTACTGCTAACAATCTGTTTGGTACCTAAGTAGCCCATCACGTATCTGGTCAGTAGCTGAAGTTCAGAAGGCAGTGATAACAGTTCTCTTGGACATTTTTCTCTCCTGTTTTGTAAATCCAGGCTTTCACCTCCCTATGATGTTATGTTTCCTTTGAAGTAGTTCTTAGGTTTACCCCTGCTCCTGAGTCCCCATGGTAACCATTGTAGTCTTTGTGTTGTAATCAACTGGATTACTGCAATAGCAGCCTAGCTGGATGCTCTGACTTCAGTGTTTTTTTTTGCTTCCTTTTCAGCCCTCTCATTCTCTGTCTGAATTAGGTACAAATCATCTGTGGTGCTTGTTAACATGTAAAGTCCCAGGTTCTGTTCCTGAGATTTGATTCCAGAGATTTAGACTAACCCCAAGAATCTTTGTTTAAGCAAACATTTCAGGGTAGTCTGGAGCATGTAATATGTAGCCCAACACAAAGAAACAACTGCTTAGTTATCCCAGTGCAAATCCAAGATAATTCAGTGCCACCTACATGCAATTACTTAAGTGAATAAATCCTTTATATTAAACAGCTGAATTAAAACTGTTTATCATACCTCTTCAGTCTTTTACAGACAAAAATATAATTGCATATAATTCTATGTCCGAATCCAAATTCCCTATTCTGGTTTTTAAGGCTTTCCAAAATCTGATTCCTTCTTACTCTTAGGGCTTTCATTTCCAATAGACGAGTGTTTTCACCTTCCTTCTGTGGATTTTGACTGCTTTATCCTTACAGGTCTTTTTTTTTCTTTTTTAAGATTTTATTTATTTATATGCACAAGAGCTGGTGTATAGGCCAGAGGCGTGTCAGGTGAGAGGTTCACTAGACACAGAGTGTGGGAAAGAACAGGCATAGTGACTGAACTACACTGAGGGGAGCACTGGCAAGACAGGAGGTCTGCCCTGCCATGGGGGTCACTTCCCTGGTGGGGATTTGAACTCGAGGTGCAGTGGCTGTGGATAGCTTCATACTGCTGTGTTTTAACCCACTGCACCAGCAGGGAGGTCCCTACCCTTATAGGACTTGACTAAGACACCCATAGGGGAAAGTGATGTGTTACAGATTTAAGGAGTGATCAAAGATAGTAGTGAAAGATAAGAGTAGTGAAGTCAATAACCTCAAAAATAGTAATTAGGAGTACATGCTTTTAGAGTCTTAACATCTAAAAATGAACTTTTTCAAATAATGTTTGGTGTGGAAATTTAACTCCTAAGTGATTATACTGTTTAGATAACTATAAGTCAGCCCTTTGTGTCTTTACTCACAATCAATTTGCATGTGTTCTCGTGGCTTGAACAACATGTTCCTCTCACCAGTCCCCTTCACTTGGCAAACTTCTACTCATGCTTATGATCTCAGCTCTGGTGTCACTTCTTCCAGGAAGCCTTTCCTGATCTACACTATCTCTTTGTCCTCTATTTGCTAGTATTCCTTTAGTAGACAGTCTCATCTAATTTTATTCCCCCTCAGCTTGTTCCTATAAACTCATTAATGAATATTTTCTTTCTTTCTTTCTTTCTTTTAAAAAGGATTTATTTATTTATGCATATAGGTGCTGGGGTACAGACCAGAGATACAGGGTTGGAGATGAGAGGATTCACTAGAGACAGAGTGGGGAGAACAGGCAGATGTACTGAAATACACTGCTGAGGGGAGCAGGGGGCGAGACAGAGGAAGTCTGCTGTGCCAAGTGGGTCACCTCCCTGGCCAGGGATAGAACTTGTGCTGCAGTGGCTGTAGAAAGCTTCATAGTGCTAGAACAATCCCTTGCTCCCCTCCATCAGGGAGGACACATTTTTTTCTTTTTCAGTTAATCTCCATAAGTTTTTCAACCCCACTGAGAACACAACTCCACTGGATTCTTAGCATCTCTTCCTGGGACTGCGTATAGTAGAGACTCACAGCATAATTGTTACAGGAAATAATGAAAACTAGCCTGTTCTCATTTTTCTCACCACTCAACCTACTGATAATGAGACCTTAACTGAGCAATGTAATAACTCAGGCCTGTCACGCACAGAGGCATCTAACATCATAATGGCAAATTTCAAGCCAGGGTCTGTCAGGCTGACAAGATCAAATTTTGAGAATCAATGACTTTAGTTCCCTACACTATTTTCTTCCCATCCTCCTCCCTGAACCTTATCCCAGTAGCCTAGAACCATATGTAGATATATTTCACTGCTTAGAAAAGTCTATTTTATTTTTAACGTCTTAGGTTTTTGTTTATTTTATCTGTAATAATACCATAATTTGACTCAATTCTGGCTCCTTTTCTCATTTTCTAAAGTGTTACTTGTGGCATCCATTCTATTAAAAAAAAACAAGCAAGCAAGCAAGAAATAGACTTTTAGAAGTGATTACTGACTTAATTTTATATCCAGATTAAAACTTCCAAATGGCTCTATTGATAATTGGATTCTACACAAGTCTATAATCTGTCAGATTGAGTGATCAGGAGAAGAGGCAATTTATTCTGATTAATCTATGAGTTTTCTTCATAAGAGTCTGTGTCACACTCGTGGGGTTGGTTAACAATGTGATCTGGATTTTGCCATTAGAAGGACTTTGAGAAACTTGCTTTTTCTTTGCATGTATTTGGATTGGGCAATTATTCCATTTCTCCTTTGGGAGATACTTCCTGAGATAACAATGACCTCATTTTATCTACTTCCTCACTGAAGACAAGTTACATACCTGGGAAGGATCAGAAGAAAATATTAAGAAACAGGTAACAATGGCAAGGATGGTTTGGACTGGACCAAATAAGGACAATTAGCCCTTTATGTATGAGGATCTCTAATGTGAACAATGTGAACTAATTCCCTCTACTCAGAACAGAAACAGAAGGGTCAATGTAAACTGACATTAGAATACAAATATTTCAAGAGACAACACAAGAGCAGGAGAATTCCTAGACACTGTACTAAATTATATTGTCAGGAGAGAAATTATGAATATCCTCCTTTGTCAATCTGTGAGAATAATATGTAAAATCAACAACAATCTGTCTGGTACAGCTAAGAAGAATTTGTTCCTGCAGACAGATGTTCTGGGATTTCATTTTGTGACTGTATGCCTGTTACCATCTACTCTCTCAGATTTATTATCATATTTAAAAGTATTCTTTTCACTATAATTTATTTATTTGTTATACAATCTAGATGCCTTCATTTGCGCTCAAAGCCAAGCCCTTACCTACTTTAGCTCACAGCTAATCAAAAGTTTGAGAAGGAATCGGATCGGGTCTTCTGCCTCTTCCTTGAGCTGGTGCAGTAATACTAAAAAGACCGCTTGTCTCAGGGTGCAGGCTGCAGCCCCTTGATGGTGAAAAGCCCATATAAATCTATCTTGTGCCAAACTTCTTTCTTCAGAAAATGACTAAGTGTGGTTCAAGCGTAGTTAATAAAATTGCAGCTGAGATGAGACTCTGAGTCATCTGTCATACCCTGGTCTCTCTTTTACTAATCAGTTGTGAGAAACATTTCAAAATCAGAGAGCAGCGCAGTAAAGAAATATGAGATTCTGGAGGCAATTAGAGTCTAAAAGAGCAGAAGGCAAATCAGTCTTCTCGCCTTGACAGTCTTAAAATACACCCTGAAAGTAGACTTTGGAGTTACACTATTTATGACAGATTTTGACCATAACACATTTTCTAAGAGGAAATAAAAAAATTACTCACTTCGGGACATGCGTTCCACCCTCGCATCAGCAGTGATGATATGGGTTTGGGAATGGAATAGCCAATGGGAGGTCGGATGTGATGGTAAGCCATGTCTGCCGCGGCTGCCGCTGCAAACAAGGGATCACGTCAGATTCAAAATTCACATTTATTTTTGAAGATTGAGTTATTTATGCATAAGGACTGGAGTACAGGCCAGAGGTGCAAGCATGATTGGAATCACCAGAGAGGAAATGGGGAGCAGAATAGGCAGACTGACTGAAATACACTCCTGAGGGCAGCAGCGGGTGGGTTAGGTCTGCTGCATCATTTTGGTCGCTTCCCTGAATGGGACTTGAACTCGTTCTGCAGTGGCCGTGAATAGCTTCAGAGCACTGAGCTTTAACCTGTTGCGCCACCAGGGAGGGTCCAAAATTCACATATTTAAAGAAACAATGGACAGACAACAAAAAGACATCAAAAAAATCAATCTGCAAAATCAGCACTCAACGTGGTCACTATATTTTAATGCTTCAACATACTAGTGGTTCACTTAATACTAAAAATTCATAATTTATTCATTAGGTTGTTGACTCAACAACAGTGAGCAAAGTGAATTTATAAAGGAGCAAAAGAACAAACAACAAGTAGCTTAGTATGTGTAAAGTGTAGGGTGTGTACTTGATGTTATAGGAAACAGGAGACAGATTGAATCAAACAACATTATTAATCCAGCTAAAGTGGCTAAAAACCTCAAACTTCCCATAGCCAAAGGTCCCACTGACCTTTGCATTTCTGAAAGCACATATATTGCTTGGGCAAATTTATTTTACAACTTAAATCCTCATTACTGGTTATGAGAATGTTGTGTTTTTAATTTTTAATACTTTATAAAGTACCTAACATTTGCTAAATTCTGTTAGGTACTTCAAATCTATCATTTCATCTCATACCACTAATTGAACTCTCTAGTGTTCCCTTTCTGCTTGGATTTCTGAGTATTACTCACCTAAAATCCCCCAATCAGCGTGATGTGGTTCTTGAAACTTCGTTATAGATTACTTATTGCTGAATATTTCCTGTTTAGCAACTAGTAATTTTCTTTTTGAAGATGAATTTATTTAGGCATACAAGAACTGTGGTGTGGATCAGAAGTGCAGTAGGTGTGGGGACTCACCAGAGACAGAGTAGAGTGGGGAACAGAACAGTCAGTTTGACTAAAATAGACAGGAGGGGGTCTGCTATGCCATATGGGTCAGCTCCTTGGCTGGGGATCCACTCCTGCTGCAGTGGATGCTGATATCTTCATAGCACTGAGACTTAACCCCTGGCACCATCAGGGAGGCCCAGCAACTAATAATTTCTATACTCCCTTAACATCCAACCTATAGTTACTTCTATTCTCCACCTCAGGAAACATGACAAATATATACAAACTCTTTTAATTCTCCTATCAGTCATGCAAGGTAGATTACTATTTTAATGCATTTTGTATGTGTACTCATGTAGAACCAGTTTCTAATTTATAAAAACTTTAAATGTAACTAGTAGTTGGTGCAGTCTCTTTTCCAGACTCCTGCTCTCTTCAGCTACTTCACATTGAAAATGCTTCGTGTAAACACACATTATTCCTGGGGTGTGTGTGTATGGTGGGGGGAGGAGGGGAATGTACTGTATCAGTGTGAGGTTAAAGTTTCAACACCTTGTTGTGTTGTCTTCTAAATTGTGATGTCACAATCAAATGTTTATATTTAAAGGACTTTTGAGAAATGACCCACAACTACAACTTCTCCACCAAAATTACTCCAGTTCTATGCTGTTTGTAGATTTAGTGAAACTAGTGAAATTGTATGTTATGTAACTTAATCAACATTTTGTTTTCAGAATTATATTTTTTTGCTAAATGTAAAAAAAACAATTGTTCTTTATTGAAATTTATAAAGTTAAAAAAATTATAAAGTTAAGAGAATTGCAAAAATAAACTTGTCATTCAGGGAGAATAATGTTTAAATTGAGTATTTCTCAAGTATTCTTTATATCATTGAAAGTATAATGTATTACATATTAGCATTTCTCATGTTACTAAAATGAGATGTCCCTATATACTTAATGACTGTATTTAATATGAGTTACTCATTCCTCAATTTTAGGTTATCTGAATTTGTGTGAAAACAATTCAAATATCTCTTCAATATGATGTTTCTGATCTCACAGATAAGTAGTTATGATTATTTTGAGTGGTAAAGTTGATATGTCAAAGGGCAAAATCAATTTAAAACTTTTGATATCTAAAGATAATCTATTTTTTCTACACATTTGCACTAACATACTCTCAATAGCAAGTGTGTGAGAAGGTTAGCATTACACCTGCACCAGAATTAGGTTCTTCTCTTTTTATAAAATATTCTGATAACATGAGAGATCAGTATACCCAGCTTCTTTTTGTCAATGGTCACACATAGTTCTTTGATATGAAATGAGGATTATTTTCCAAAATATTTATTAGTTGTTTCATTTAAATCCTTAATTTTATGCTCTAGCCATCTCTGGTATTTTAAGATTTTCCTGTAACACTTATTCTAATTGTACAATGTTTCCAGGTTGAAGGCACATCCAGGTATTTAATTTCTGCTTATGTCTCCAAAAAGCTTTTAACATATTTGCATTGCTACATCTGCCAATCATTTCCAGCCAGTAACCGGTAGAGCTATAGTTGTGAACCCTAAGAAAACAAACAAAAAAAAGACAGCTGAAAACATATTAGCAAACTTAACAAGACTTGAAAACGTGTCTTTTGTGTCACAAACACAAAAAAGCTAGGCATGTTAGGTTCTTTCCAACAGCTTCCATTGACTATGTTCTTTTTAGAAAGAAGTAAATAAACTGATGTTTAGTGATCATTGGTCTTCCAAATTTACTTTGTCTTATTATGACCATTTGGATATTGAGCTGGTGCAACTATAAGCACATAAACCAGTGTAGTGAACACATTTAAACTAATTATACATAACCTAATGGGTGGGGAGGGACTATTCATAAAGTGAGTTAAACTCAAACACAGGTGCCAAATGTCTCCCTTTGAAACTCTTCTAGGCACTGATATCAAGTATATAGGGTTACTTGTTTGCTTCTTGGCACTCTGTCTGGAAAATCAGTTTAAGATGAATGATATTTAATTCTTCATTATTCAAAGTAGATTCTGCAAGGCCTTGGCATCTCCTTCTCCCCTTTGCTTTATGCACTCTTGGCAGTGATGCTGCTCATTAGCACCTCCGCCAGAAAGTGGGCAATGCAACATGAAGGGTCATGGAATTGAAATTTGTCACCTTTGAGATTGCCTTGTCAGGCTTGCCTAAGTGGCCATGCTACACTAACAGCTGGGAAATTTTCTGGTGTTCCAGATTCAGGAAAAGACTGTCAGCCCATTAATCAAATTTATACCTTGATTGCTATATAAAATATGCTAAATGATTTATGGAAATGATGATTTCTACTTTCACAAATGAAACTTTGCCTTTAATAGGGAATTAGCTAACTTTTAAAATATCAATAACTACCTATTGAGTCCCCTTTATTTCTTCAACCTGCTCTGGCATAATTATCAACAACTGAGTAAAGTTTATCCTCTGTCCAGTGGAATTTTAATCAGTGATGACATTGTTTTTCTGCGTGTTTAAATATGGTAGCAGATGGCTATTGAAAACTTAAAATGTGGCTAGTGTGAGAAAGTAGATTATTTTATTTCAATCAACAAATTTATGTAGCCATGTGTCTCTAGTGGAGTCTTTTTTTTAGCAGTACAACTTAGAGCATAGTTTTCTTCTGTCCCAAATGAAATGTAAGTTAACAGATAATTTTGTGCATCTGCCTTTCCTATCTAGATAACCATAGTGTCAATTTGTAGATTCAAGCTCTAGATTGCTCATCACACTATCAAATAAAGAAAAGATAAGAATATTGTCAGCATTGTCTCTCAAAGAAGTTTAGTTAGGTGCAGAACAGGCATTAATACAACAGGTGATAAGTTGCATTCATTTATCCATTATGTTATGGTAAATGAATGAATAATTAATAAAGACAATAATTACTAGGTATTTCAGTGCCCTTTTTTATGGCTCAATTATAAATTCTGAAATACAATTTATTTTACCTGGTAGGAAAGACTCCTTCCTACTTTCCTTCCCTGTATCATATCAACTGTCAATAAGTACAGAAGAATTCTGTATACTCAAAGCACCTGATATTACTATAACATGTATTATATTTAATTTCTTACTTACATGTTTGCCTCTACAAATAGATCAGAAGATCCTTGAGGTCAGAATTTTTTTTTTCATCATTTCCTTTACCTCACACAGTAATGGTAATTCATAAAAATAAGTAAGCACTATACATATACACAGAGCATTAAATACATAGGAGCTGAATAAATCAATAAATAAGACAGTTTAAATATGCTTTCACTAGAAATAATATAAATCCTGGAACATAAGACTCAATAAACATTTACTGTACAAAGAAATGAAGATTCTCTATTAATGACAATTAAGTGTTTGCTTATTATTATGTTTTCAGGAAAGCATACTACCTAGTCATTGATAAACATTGAAGGATAAATATACTGTTTAGTTTAATATTAAAGTACAGTATAATAAGGTAGATTACTGAGCTATATAAGGATAATATTGTCATTTGTTTAAAACATTGGGGCTTCCAAAAGCTGAAGCAGTAGGACTATTTAGAAATATCTTTAACAGGAAATTAGACACCTAATTTTGAGTCTGGCTTTGCTTTTAATTCTTTGGGAGATCCTAATTAAATCAATTTCCCTCTGTGTGCATTAACTTCTCTAAATATGAGATGAAGGAGGGAGGAAACTGGTTAATGGTGACAAGCATGTGCTTTGGTGACAAGAAGTCAACATTTAAATCTTGACTCTTTCTAGAATGTGACACTGAGCATATATTTCATTCTTACAGCACCTAAGCAATAGGTATTGTTAGCATTAAGAGATTATGCACATAAAGTATATGGTGCATCGTTGACTTTAAAGAAATTTTAGCTTTGTTGCTGTAATTATTATCTACAGACTTATGTCTTACTGATTCCTTTTAGAGAGCTAGATATCAAA